TTTTTTTTTTTTTTAAGTTAGATATGTGGAAAAAGTCGATGCCTGCCACGTATACTACTTCCTCATCCTCCTGGGCTTCATAATAGTAGCATTCACGTCGACTTTCGTGAGGGTAGGTTTCAATTCGCTGGTAAAAATTTAATTACGTGAGTTTGTTACAGTAATTAAAGGACATATAATTTAGAATAATTTAGACTCTAATTATCAGTCACGCATCAGGTTATGATTACATTAGGATGTAAATGCCTTGTGTACTGTAAGTTTACGCTGCCATTCAAAAGTCTCGAGAAAGTTTCTATGTACAAATGTCCTATATTTATTGTAGACAATTAAATAAAGTTTTGAATCACATATGAATTCTATGATACAATTACGAATATATATTAACAACTTTTTTTGTGGTTTAAAATATTTAATTTTAATTCTAACTTCAAAATAAATGTGATATTTTCACCAGGTGGCGTGTGTATTCAATTTGTCTGACACATTAGTTGGTAGAAAAGAATCATGTTGGTTCGTCACAATCACTGTAATCACAGATTTACGCCATCGTGATTTAATTCATGATATTATCTTCTGTGATTAGTTGTCAGAGACAGAAATGGGGATCCGATTCTTCACGTTATGGGGGTTCACTGTCGCTCAATTGGTTCATCTCTTTTTTTTGACGATAATGGGACAATTCGTGGTCAATTCTAACGAAGAAATCTTTCAAACGATGTAAGATATAGATAATAACTGATATAGATTGTTATGGAATGTTTTAAATTAAAGGTGCATTTGAAACAATTGAAGGAATATTGCCGATTTAAATTTATAATTTCGATTGATATGTAGATACGAAGCCAAATGGTATAATGGTTCGTCGAGGATGCAATCGTTATATGTACTAGTGTTGCGAAAATGTTTGAACCCGCCCACAATAACAGGTGGAGGATTGGTACCTTTGAATTTGGACAGCTTTGTACAAGTTGGTTTACCATTTTCGTGAAATATTTAAGAACTGCTTTTACAGTTTAAATAAATTGGCTCTTTCGTTTTCAGATCTTGAAAGCATCTTTTTCATATTACACAATGTTCAGGCCTACATAAATTAAAAAGAAAGTATTAACAATTGAACGTTCGAATTTTAGTATGTATATTTTTTGAATAAATTATGTTAGAGTATTTTCGGACTACTACTTTTTATGTTGCATTCAAATTAGTTACTTATGAGTTTGTGTCAAAATATAACAACGTAAGGAACTTCGTTAGTTCTTTCATAGCGCTTCTATTTTCTTCAAACACAACAAATCCAATAATGTCTGATGTGTTATCACTGTTATTGCCGACATACGTGTAAGTAACAAATAAGCATGAAATTTCCTATGCATCCGAGAATGAAACTTATTTTTTACTTGAAGTGGAAATATCTGAAAAAATTAAATATAGAAATATAGAAAAATAGAATTAACGAAATATAGAAAATCTCTGCTTTCAATTGTATATTTGAATTTTAATCATTTCTGTGTTACTTACGTAGTAATGCAGAAATCATGTTCATTAAGTTCCATGCGTAACGTAAAGATGGCGACATATATACGATTTTATATTTATTTGTGCTCCATCTTTTACAGCAATATCAAAACCTGTGGATCATATTTGCGATTATTTTTGAACTACTAATAAAAATCTCGGGTACAAAACATTCAATTAAATATCGTTTCATTCAAAAATGATTTTACGCCACAGTGAAGAAAAGAGAAATTTAAAAAGAAATTCATAATAGATCCACTATTATTTTGTTAAATGAAGTTTAACATTTACGATTTTTTATTCAGCATTTTATCAAACTTTGAATATTAGGTTGAAGGGAAAGAATTCAAGGCATCTTGACATTTCGTCACTTAGTATTAATATTCAAAGTTCAATAAGAATTGTACGTCAGATTTTAAGAGATCGTTGTAAAGAGGAGATCTCAGTCTTCAAGATAGTAGTGAATCTAGTCACGAGAAAAATTTTTCAATGTTTTTAGAGACTTTTTAACTTTTACAATTCTCGAGAAAAAAGTATCTTTATATTTCCACCGGCTACATAGTGTAAAATCATCTTTGAAAGAAACAAAATCAAGACTCGAGAAAGTAGAAGCCATACTCTTTGAAATGAGATCAAGTGAATTGTTATATGATTTTTTTTTTTTTAACGAAGTTTAATAACAGTTTAAATTATCGACAACTTTTCATCGTTATTTATCCAGGTAAATGAGGTCCTTCAATTTATAGGATTTCAATTTACAGTATAAGACATCGCACATGAAGATATATTAATTGAAAAACGCGTGTCTCGGGAAACGGAGAAAAAAAGAAAGGTTCAGTAATCACGAGATACGTGAACAATCAATAATGTCGCAATATTAATTTTTCATGTTCTGTACATAGAACCACTTTAGCGGCTGATAACTATCGAGTTAAAATATATTGAGTTCTTCTATAAATCCATTTACGTATATTACGTGTAAATAATATATGCAGTAGCATGGGAGAAGGAAGTAAATTATTGCCTGCTATAAAACGACTATCATCTACTAAATTAACCAAATCAGTAAATCTCTCATATTATACGTCATTACTTGCAGGCAGAGCACATACGTTTGAATCTGACTACTCTATACGATTATGAATTGGCAAACAGTTGAGGATCAATATCTCAGAGACAACAGATTTTTCGCGCAACTAGCTGGTGTATGGCCCAACCAGAAAATATTTGCTAAATTTTCTATTCGACTTGTTATATTTATTATTGTTAACGTTGCCATTATAACTGAGGTATTTTTTTTTTTTTTCTTCTTTCTGTCAAAACGTGATGATGTTCCTCACCTGTGACTATCGTGCAATAAAATTTTTCAATATAGTAAATGTGACAAATGTAGGATCGTAATGAAAGTGGTTTTTTTTTTTTCTGTACGTTGTAGATATCGCGAATAGTAATATTTCACAGTACGGATGTGCTGTTGGATCAGATGGCGTATCTGAGTCTAGCTATGATGGTTCTAGTGAAGCAGTACAATTTCATCTTGAATGAGAAGAAGGTGAAAGACTGTTCGATACATTCTACAATATCTTCAATAACTATCCTTGTCCTTAAAATTGTAGTTGAAAGAAGTTCTAAGCGAAATTGTGACTGATCGTTTGATGGAACGACCGAGAGAGGAATTGCAGATTTTGGATACGTACTATAAGAAGGCGATAATCCTCTCCACTATATACAAAGGTGACAAAGGGAATGAACAAATTCTTATATTACAAAAATCAACATCGCAATAATAATCAGCAACGAGAATCGATAATTCTCCTGCTGAAAGTGCTATTTGAATAATATTCTTATGGTGTTTATTTATAAGGAGACAGCTCTATATCATTGTAAAGGTGAACGTTCTGTAAAGTAGCTGCATGCAGTTTATATATTCCGATAATATAACCACAACTATCTAAATGCAGGTTAAAATATCTTTGCACATATGTGAGTGAGATCTGATGAAATTAACGATAACAAAGTGTATCTGTTTTAAATAATTATTATTCTATTTTACATTTTGTCCCCCTTGTATTTAGTGAGCATATCTTCCTCCACGTTGATGTTCATCTCCATACCGGCCATACCATCTGTTTTGAACATCATAGCGCCCCTGAACGAGTCACGAGGCCGTGAATTCGTCTACCCAGCGTATTATTTCGTTGATGAACAGCGATATTATTATCCTATATTAGTGCACATGGTATCAATGGGTCTAACAGTAGCAGTTGTATATATCGCCTGCGACATCAATTTGATTCACATAGTACAACACGGGTGCGCCTTATTGACTATCTGCGGGTGCGTATACTTCAATAAATGTGTTTGCATGCTTTTCGCATTTTCTTTTTTTTTTTTTTTTTTT